GAGCGCCACCATGCTCCCAAGCGGCGCACTGTAGCAGTGCGCCACCGGGCCGGCCCTCTAAATTTATTTCTACTGGTAGACACAGCATAATTTTTTAGGATTTGCTTACCACATGGAAATGAGTCACAAAACAAAATTTACCAGTGTGTAGGCCCCTCAGTCTATTCCTGTGCATTATAATAAATCAGTACAGATTATAACAGCACACTTTTAAGACTATTGCCAAGTAAGCAACACATACCTTGTACCTTTGCTCAGAGTATAAGACAATTCTAGATGATAAGATTCACCTGCATTTAATTTAAATGTTTTTGGAATTTTATTGAACTATATAAAGTATGGTTTTCAACATTCATACTTCATTAAGAATTACATAATATTTATTTATTTATTTTATTTTATTTTTTAAAGATGACCGGTAAGGGGATCTTAACCCTTAACTTGGTGTTGTCAGCACCACGCTCAGCCAGTGAGCGGACCGGCCATCCCTATATGGTATCCGAACCCGGGGCCTTGGTGTTATCAGCACCATACTCTCCCGAGTGAGCCACGGGCCGGCCCAAGAATTACATAATATATAGATGGCAAAATGTAAGAGACTAGTTCAGAATCATAATGATCTCTCAAAAAAAATGCCTGCTTTAATTAACACCAAGGTCCAGGGTTCAATCCCTATACAGACTAGCTATCCCCACCCCCCAAAAAAATAAAATTTGAGAGGGGGAGAATCCTACATATTGAAAGAAGCATAAGAGACTTTTGCAATATATGAATCTTTTTTAGATCCTGATTCAGACATTATTTAAAATTGAGTCAATCAGGGCCGGCTCGTGGCTCACTTGGGAGAGTGCGGTGCTGATAACACCAAGGCCCCGGGTTCGGATCCCATATAGGGATGGCCAGTCCGCTCACTGGCTGAGCGTGGTGCTGACAACACCAAGTTAAGGGTTAAGATCCCCTTACCGGTCATCTTTAAAAAAAGTGTCATTGGCCTCTCAGGAGGAGAGGAGAGGGTGGGGTGAAAAAATATTCCAAGAAGGGCCGGCCCGGGCCTGGTGGCGCACTGGAGAGTGCGCCGCTTGGGAGCGCGTCCCGCTGAGGGTTCGGATCCCATGTGGAGACCAGTTCCCGCTCACTGGTTGAGCGAGGTGCGGGCGCAACACCGAGGGTTGCGATCCCATTGCCAGTCCCCGGTGCAGGCGCGACACTGAGGGTTGCGATCCCGTTACCGGTCAGTAAAAAAGACAAAAAGGAAAAAGTTAAACATAGAATTTACATATGATCTAGCAATTCTTCCCCCTAGGTATATACCCCTAAAGACTTGAAAGCAGAGACTCAAACAGATAACTCATATACCAGTGTTCATAGCAGTATTATTCAAGATCACCAAAAGGTGAAAATAATCCAGATGCCCATTGATGGATGAATGGATAAACAAAATGTGGTAATACATGTAATGGAATATTATTCAGCCCAAAAAAGGAATGAATTTTTTGACACAACCTACAATATGAATGAACCTTTAAAACATTATGAATTTTGGGCCGGCCCGGTGGCGCACTGCTACAGTGCGCCGCTTGGGAGTGCGGCGGCGCTCCCGCCGAGGGTTCGGATCCCACATACAGACCGGTTCCCGCTCACTGGCTGAGCGCGGTGCGGGAGCAACACCGAGGGTTGCGATCCCGTTGCCGGTCCCGGTCCGGTACAGGCGTGACACTGAGGGTTGCGATCCGTTGCCGGACACGAAAAAAAAACAAAAAGGAAAAAAAATAAAAAAATAAAATAAAACATGATGAATTTTTAAATAAGTAAGTCACACACAAGGACGAGTAATGTATGATTCCAGTTACATGATTAAAAAATAAAATAAAACATTATGAATTTTTAAATAAGTAAGTCACACACAAGGACGAGTAATGTATGATTCCAGTTACATGAGGTTCCTGGAATGGGCAAATTCATAGAGTTAAGAAGTGAATAGAGGTTACCAGGAGCTATTGGGAGTGGGAGTGGAAAGTTGTGTTCAATACGTACGTAGTTTTTGTTTAGGACGATAGAAAAACTCTGGAAATAGCAGTTATGGTTACACAACACTGTGAATGTATTTAATGTCATTGAATTGTACGCTTACAATGATAAATTTTATGTTATATATCCATTACCACAATAAAAATTGTTAAATGTCTGCTATACGTGGAAAGAAACTCACAGAACTGAGTTTCTGTAATAAATAGGGTTAGCATTTTAAAATAATTGACAATAGTGTAATAGGATAAAAATTATTCCTTACAAAACATATTTGGCTAATCTAAAATAGTTGTGGTACAGGCTAGAAACATCCTTCAGAAACCTAATGTTTTGAGTCAGAATTGTAGAGAGAAGAGCCACATAATTCTATGTGTAGCTATGCCAAAACCTAACAAACATTGAGAAAAGAAGGTTATTGGGATATATCTGGATCAGAATTGTGTGACTTTGATTTCATTTGTTTATAAAACAAAAAAATCTATAATGACTCAAACTCTGTGTCCTATGTAACTACATGAATATTCTATAGGACAGGCATATCTAGGGGAAAAACGTAGGAGCTGCCATCGAAGAGCTGATCTTGAAATTCCCCGAGTAGAGAGCTCTTGGGCCTAGGGCACCCTTCTTTTTCTATCTCCATTTAAGGATACGGTCCTAAGATTTATATAGGGGAAGATTGGTGGAGCTTTGACAAACATGGAGATGACCATTCCATCCACATTGTTGGGTGAAGTCATTATCTAGTGCAGATGACACTAGGGGTTCATGAGATTTGAAATGATCGTTTTCATTCTTGTTTAGTGTGTTGAATATAATGTATGACCTAACATTTATCTTTAAATGTGCTTTTAATAGTTCGTTAAAGAAATCGATAATGAGAAGAGAATGAGACTTCTGCAGTTTGTTACTGGAACCTGCCGATTACCAGTAGGAGGATTTGCTGACCTCATGGGTATGTATACAGGGTACTTTTCCTGTACAAAAAATTGCTTATCACACGACTGTTAGATAAATGTGTATACAGCTTATCAGAAACAACAAAGACAACTATAGCCATTTTCTCAACCAGTCACAGTTTACCTGGATATGTGTGAACTTTTAAATCACTTTGTAGTCCTTACCTCCATAGAAATTTTTAACCCTCAGCTGGACCCCACAATTTAACTCAGTAAGATAGCAGTCTTCTATATGAAAATCTGTTTATACATTCAGTCATTTGGTAAACATTTTAGTGTCGCCTATGTGCCAGACTCTATCGGTTGTATTATACTGTATTTTAATGATCTGCGAAGATCAGTGTACAGTAGTGGATAGTAGTTTCCCTATTGTGTTTAAGACCATTCTTCCCTATTAGACCAGTAGCTCTTTGAGATGTAAATCATATCTTCATCATCTTTTTATTTCTGGTGCCTGGCACTGTGCCTGTTACATAGTCACTGATTAAAACATGTGTCATATTGAAATGAATGACCATGAGAATATTTATTTGGGGACTAAATGATAAATTATTTAAGCAAATTCAAGTATTTCTTTAATGACATTAGGCCAGGTACCAAAGGAATATACACAGAGAAATTGTGTTCCTTAATCCTGGTTTAGCTGGAACAGAGAGTCAGAATTAGAGAACTAAGCAGGTAATTTTGGATATAGAGCGAACCAGTTTAACAAAGACTTTAAAAGCCAGACCAAAAGAATTTGGATAGTACCCTGAGGGTATTAGAAGCTGTGGAAACTTTTCGAAGAGGGGAAAACTTGCTGAAGCTGCATTTTGGGAAGATTTGGTAGCAAGATATAGTATGGATTAAAAGATGGGGAGATGTTTCCTAAATTTCCATAAAAAAAACAAAACAAAAAGAAAGATGGGGAGAACCTGGAGATAAGAATAAATTATTGCAGCAATGATGAAAACTTGATCTTAGGAGATGGAGGTAGAAATAAAAAAGAAGGGATAAATGCTAGAGAAGTTACAAATATAGAAACAGGCAGAGCTTGATTAGATGAGATATAAAAGAGGAGTGTGAAAGATAACTACCATGTTATGAAACATGGAGTAATGGAGAAGTCATGAAGTATAAAGAGAACGTTTAGAGATTCAGGGGAGGGTGATGAGTGGCTTAGAACCCACTGAGTTTAAAATTACTGCCAGACAACCAAGTAGAAAATTCCAGTGAAGCAATTGTAGAGGTATGAGAGGTAAGAATAGAGAGGGAAAGTTGAGTCATCAGAGCAGTGACATTTGAAGCTGTAAGAATGGGTGGTCTTTATGCAGAAGTAGAATACATAGAAGAGTAGAAGGGTGATGCTTAGAAACATCCGTATGTAGGGGTGAGATAGAAATAGCCTGGAGGCAGGCTTAAAGGAGAGGCCAAAGAGTGAACAGAAGAAATAAATAGTATGGTCTCTCAGCAGCAATATAGAAGGGCTGCAGTAACCTTTCCGGTGCTGCAGAAAGGTCTCAGAAGGGTGATTTCTAAGGAAGTTTTTGGAGGGGCACCTTTGAGAATGCATTCTAGTTTGAATAAGAGAAAGCATGTTGGAGGTTGGGAAGGAAAAAGAGCAGTGACCAAAATGAGGGGAAAAAAATTGTAGAAGCTTCTTAGTACAAACTGAAATTCTGATTATTAAACTAGATGACAAGAACTAGATCTGCTCTTAGAAAAATATTAGGGTTGGATGGGGCTATCTAAAACAATACAGAAGGATGGCCCTGGAAGATGGAGACAATGAGATTGTGACGTATAGAATTTTAGAAGCCATCTAGTTTAAATTTCCTCCCGGTGCAGAAGAAGAAAGTTATAAGGGTTATGTATATAAACCTTTAATGTGATGGTTCTTGATCTTATCAGATCCAACGTCCCATTTTTATTAAGAGATATGTAATATTTTCTCTAATATTCTGAAGTGAAATTGATAACCTATCCATAGTCTCCCCAAAATACATATACATAGCACTAATACAACAGAGAAAAATTTTAAGTGATTTATAATGAAATAATATGTATTTCAATATATTTGTATTTGGGAACAGTTATATTAGAAGATATAGTTAAGTAGACAGATACTTGTACTTCTAAGAAAAGGTTTGGGTTTAAAAGAATATCAGGAGCTATTCTGTAAAGGAAGCACTGGAAAATGAAAGAACATTTTGAAAACATAAGAAGTAATAGACTTAATTATATGTGATAAGAAAAAGAGGGAAATAACCTAAACAAAGTAGGGATAATACACCTGCCAAAATAAATTATAGATGGTCAAAGTGGAAGAAGATGAAATAGATTGTATTTAAAAGTGTGGTGTTGAAATGTATCTCTTCTCATGAAATTCCACTGCAGGCCAACACTCTGATATTTTTACATATCATTTAAAAGATGGCTGAAAATAGGAACATAAGTGCAAGAGTTTACACAGAAGTTCTGTGGGTTAGGGACAGTGTCACAGTGAGATGAAAAACAACAGGAAACCTAAAAATTTTAGTATATAGTTTTTACAACTAGATTTCTTATTGTTTTATAAAGTTTTAAAAAGCAGTCAGGGGCCAGCCCGTGGCTCACTCGGGAGAGTGCGGTGCTGATAACACCAAGGCCATGGGTTCGGATCCCATATAGGGACAGTCAGTTGGCTCACTGGCTGAGCGTAGTGCTGACAACACCAAGCCGAGGGTTGAGATTCCCTTACCGGTCATCTTTAATTAATTAATTAATTAATTAATTAAAGATGACCGGTAAGGGAATCTCAACCCTCGGCTTGGTGTTGTCAGCACTACGCTCAGCCAGTGAGCCAACTGACCGTCCCTATATGGGATCCCAACCCATGGCCTTGGTGTTATCAGCACCGCACTCTCCCGAGTGAGCCACGGGCTGGCCCCTGACTGCTTTTTCGGTCAGTTGGCTCACTGGCTGAGCGTAGTGCTGACAACACCAAGCCGAGGGTTGAGATTCCCTTACCGGTCATCTTTAATTAATTAATTAATTAATTAATTAAATATAAATATAAATAAATAAAAATAAAAATAAATAAATAATAAATAAAAAATAAATAAATGAAAAGCAGTCAGGATATAAATATAAATAAATATAAATAAAAATAAAAATAAATAAATAATAAATAAAAAATAAATAAATGAAAAGCAGTCAGGGTGATAGTAATATGGCATATTTGTAAAATAGCCTTTATTAATGAAATTCACAAAGATTGCTTCATATGTCTGCTATTTTAATGTCTGATTCTAAATCTATTAAAAGCAATTCATAATCTTCTCTATTACATATTAACACTATTAAACTAAACTTTCTTTCTATGTAGTTAGATATGCTGTAATATATTGAGTAGGGTGTGTGGATTTGTGATTCTAATAAGTTCCCTGCTGATGTTGCTGCTGCTGGTGGATAGGGTACCACAGTTTGAGAATCACCACATTAACAAATTGTTTATGATTTCATTATGTTTTAGGGAGCAATGGACCACAGAAATTCTGCATTGAAAAAGTTGGGAAAGAAAATTGGTTGCCCAGAAGTCATACCTGGTAAGTAAAATCAGAAGGAATAGAGAAAACAGCCTTTTTCCAGTTATATTGTACCTATTTAAAGCATGTTAGAAATTAGAAATATTTTCCTCATGGTATTGATTTTTTTTTTTTTTTTTTTTTTTTTTTTTTT